ACCAACATAAAATTTGTTGCTCGCATAGCACACCATATAATTTCAAATTGGATCTGTGAAGTTTGTACGACGTTCCGTTAATATAAAAAAATAATGACAGTTCCGCAGCATCGATTTTCATAGTTCTACAATTCCTTATAAAAATAAAAGAGTACTTAAAAAAAAAAAAGAAGACCGTATCAGATACAAAGAATAATAACAGCAAGTGTAAAGTGAAACTAACAGGTATTAATTGTATTAAATAACAAGCGTAACAAGCGCGCGTGTAAGAAACAGTAAAAATAATATAATATTACGATCCATTTGATATTATAGAGTGTTTCCCGCGCAAAAAGAATTATATCTACATCATCCCGCAAACGCAAGCGGTGAGTATTTTATATCAGGACTTTAAAGTGTAGAGTGTGCGATGATTCAGCGTCATGCCATAGCCATAGGGGTTGCCCTTGATGTGCTCTTACTCACAGTTTCGCGACGCGGGATGTAGGAAGGGGTTGCGTCTCTCGTACACCGGTAACGCGATCAATAAGATAATTGAAGACTTTCTCGACGATGTAACTTCTCCGGCGGAAGGGAGTAATTTCGCTATCTCGCTAGTACTAGCGCAAGCCTTTGTTTTCAAGACAATCTTTATTTTACACTTTCGAAATTTTATTGTCCGAGTGGCATGCAAACAGAGAAAAAAGATAAACACACATTATCACATCATCAAAACTAGTCTTTGTCTATATGGACTTTCATTATTATCGTCACGAACTATGTAGTGCAAACGGAAAATAAATACGAACTTTGCAAAAATTGATCGTAAATGATTTGATTTAAAAAACAGTAATTGAACTGTTTCGTGCCTTACTGAATTATTGCTAAAAATGTTGTAAATTGTTAATTAAAATCGGAACTAAATTTTATAGAATTATTTCAAAAAACTAAAATAACTGTGCTTTTGTAGAAATTTGTGCAATTTTATGCGAACGACAAACAAATGTGGAAAATTATTTTAAACTTTGCATATTTTTGCAAGCAAACAAAACTACCGGGGGAAAATACGGGAAAACATTCTGCAAAAGTATTTTCCGCGGCGGAAATACACGTTAAAAAATAATGTATAAAATTTGTAATGCCGCTGCAATATAATGATTTAAAATGTTTCATCATCAATACTTTAATCCTCTCAACAGATAAACAGAAATGTATATTTAAAACATCATTTTATTTAAAATAAATTTATCCCAAAAATAATATATTAATTGTAAATGAATTTAGATCGATAAAATTCGACATAAAATAAGAATCAGTTGTTGCGTGCAAAAACGTATCGAAGTAAAAAGAACAGAATATCTGATATCGGTTTCATTTCCCGATATTGTATTAAACCGCAAAAGATTAACGTGTTATATCGAAAGTCAGGTCACCTTTCGAATGATCGGAGTTACGGAGGCGAGAGAAAAAACGATCTCGGAAACGAGCTGCCGCGCATTCACAGCCGATCGACCAACCGTGAAAAGCCTGTCGCGGAGAGCAAAGTGCAATCGTGCGGCAACGAAGCTGATTCCACTTCCAAAAGCCACGGCAAACAGATCTGTGGTTTATCTAATTTGTCTACGCGTGAGATGAAGCGTAATCAAAACAATCAGAGATTTCAAACCGACGAAGAATAAACACGTGTGAACTGCGATTGAAAAACGTGCGATCTTAATGGATTGCTCCAATTTCACTCTCTAATAAAATAACGAATTTGTTTGAACACATTAATGCGCACTGGACGTTAAAACCGTTATACACTGATCAACACCGATTTAATCTCAATGTAAAAGTGAAATGCAAATATTTTGAAATACAATACATTGTACCTACTCTGTTAAATCTATAGTGTCAATCTGTAATGCGAGTCGCCACTGCCCCTAGTAAATATATCGTTATGTTAGACTAAATCGATAATTGAATTTCACACTATACGGTGTCAAATTGACACTGTTCAATGTCAAATACAACCATTGTTTTAATGTGAAATAACGATATAATGGAGTAGCAGCTGCGGCGACTCACATTAGTTTAAATTTGACATTATAGATTTAACAGTATTATAGTGTAACAGTATAATAAAATGTTGAATAGTTTACGATTTAATCGGTTTTTATGCTTATAATAATTATGTATCTTTACATCAATTTATGTGCAATAGTTTTAATGTGCACTGAGTGCGTCCAATCGAATTCACTATAAGTGTGAACGGATTTAGATTTAGATAAAGTAAGATTATTACACAGTAAATTACAATTCTCGCATATTGTACAGATTAATTCGCAAAGTTACAAAACAAAATGCTGCTTGATTTGTTTGTGAAAGAGATTATTGCTAATTATATATGTACAATATATTCGTGAAATTATTAATCATTGTATGATAATCTTATTATCTCAATATCGATAAAGCAACATTGTTGTTTCGTGTTGTACCAGCATCTCGCATACGCAATCGCTAATAGCGCTCAAAGAATAATATTATTGAATAAGCAAGTAGCGCGTAGGCTGTTATCAATGTTTGGAAATATTTCATCTGTACTATGTATAATTTAGCTTAACTGCATCGTGCCCATTGCAAAGATGCGTGGGTGAGAGAAGTGATGCATCGATCAAACTTCCTCTACAAATCGTTGCGCCAAACTGCTCCAAATGTAAATCAACTCGTAAAGGTACGCGTGACATGTCTGCTTGTAATCGCAATCAACAGTTAATGCCTAATATTCCAAGTAGAATCGTAAGATGACATATATTCTCATGACATATTCTCGTAAGACTTATAAGAACTTTTAAGTGCTTATACCTTTTTTTTTATACAATATCTTTATAGACGCAGCTTCTTACTAGCCATAAAATTTACAAGAAATCGTAGATATTTACTAACAATCGTACGTCTTACGATATATACGCATAAAATTAGAATATTACACTGAAAGGAAAGATTGGTCGCTGCAGTAAATTAAAAATGCTACGCCATATTTTACCATCTAATTTGCTGCAGCAGCAATCTTTTCTTTCAGTATATCACGGGAAAAAAGGATTAGCAATACCAGCTAATGTATAGCTGTGACAGCTAAATTGCGTCTTTAAAATAAGGACAGCTAATGCTGTTGATGCTAAATTTATTAGCTATTTGCACTTATTAGCTATTTGTACTGTAGTAACAAATTTTTTGCTGCTATACTGAAAAAAAAAAAAAGATTGATTGAATATAGCATAGCGTTTTTGATTGGCTGCAACAGTCAATTTTTAGTTGTAGCAGCCATTGCGGATGGTTAACATGACCAAAAATTAGATACTACGGCCAATTAAAAACGCTGTGCCGCATATTTCACCATCTAAATTACTACAGCAGTCAATCTTTTTTTTCAGTGTAGAGATATATATGTATGAAGAAACATTTTCCCGTAATATACGTGCATGGAAGAAATTTAGATTTATGTACACCTAGCATCTTTTAACTACTTGTACTAATAATATTTTTAATTTTAGCTAAGTTTCATGTCACACAGTTTATGTTTTTTCAATCTCTGATAGCTAAAGCTTAGTAATCACACTAAGTAGCTCTTACAGCTACGTTTGATTCAGCTATTAAAATATAGTTGCTGTTATCAAATCATTCTTTTCTGTATCATAAGTTCTTGTAAGTTTTATACGAGAACAAGTTACGAGTCTTACCGATTCTACTTAGAATTGATCCATAAATTTTAATTTTAACTGTTCAATGACACTGTCAAAGTAAATTTGGTGGAAAAATGGAAATTTATATTATATAAATATAATACATCAAGCTTTGAATCGCACGCAGTTGAAGCGCGTATAGAATTGAAGTAATTTATATATTTAACATCAAACAGCCGTTTCTTGCTACACAAACATCCACGATAACGAATGTCGTCAACTTTGGGTTTCCACAGGCATGGCGATCGACGGTAAATACGTAGATACGAGGAAAACACGAGGAGCGTAGCGATATAATGAGTGATGTATGACGTGCTTAATCCGCCGCTCATGTGCACGTGTCCAAGCACACACGGTTACGTTCGGCTACAAAACCGAGAACGACCAGGTCGCACCGCGGCGTGCTCCTGGCGGTCGCGATTACGCACCCGACCGGTTCGCTTAACATTAACTTCCCATTGAACGGTTCTCACATACCACAACAATCGGAGCGATCGGAGGGAGGGCGTTTACCTGTTTCTCGTTTTTGCTCTCCGACTTAAAAGATTACGGTAAAAACTAAAAATAGTAACGGGGCCAATCAAAAATATATCTCCTGGGATATCTGGAGTATCGAACGATATTAAAATTTGTACAACGCACTGCCTAATATAGCGCTTCGTCACATACATATACATTTCAATGATAAATCAAATATCGTATAATCTCGCATAAATTGTGCGTAATTATTGGATATCACTTATCATATATCAATCATTTAATAATACAATTATAATGACCTGAATTGATTACGCGAACATAGTAAAAAGTAAAATGTTAAGAGACACACAAAAATGTTAAAATCAACATTTTACTTTTAACAGGGTGTGAATGTTTTTTCAGTGCTCCAAGGATCTCAAATTATCTGTAATACATATGCTTGTATCAAGAGGAAAAATTCGAGATCTGCGAGCTTCGTTTTGCCTGGAGCGAATATACGATCGAATGACTTTTAAAGGGAATTGAACGATGATCGACGGGGGCAGAATTCAGGCCGCAAGGCAATATTTCCGAGCGCAAGGGGTCTGGCTGCGCAGGAGGTGACAGGGCGGCAACACCCGGCGCGGTGTGCAACGTCGGCTGAAGTCGGCCTTGGCGGCTCCGGCACGAGGGTGGGTTTCCACGATGGATAAAACCGGCGATCGATAAGGAAAACCGTGCGGCATCCCGCCGAATCGCGGAGAACAGGGAGAACATCGTGTCCGCCACCCTCTCGGCGAGAGCCGAATTATGTTAATCGCAACGATCGCGAACACTCACCGCTTGGAATTGCTCCAACAGCTCCTGCCGGTCGTCGATCGCGGTGGCCATGTTGCCCGAATATATAATCCTTCCGCCTTTCCTTTCTCCTCTACGGCACCCAGTCACCGCTTCTCCGTCACTCTTTCTCTCTCTCTCACGCCCTTCGGTTCACTCCTTCTCGCACTCTCTCTCTCTCTCTCTCTTTTCCTCTTTCGATGCGTCCGTCCTTCTCGGACCGATGACGCCGTATACGTCGTGACACGATACGGCGCGCAACGTGCAACGATCACTCTCGACGGAGGCGATTTTCTCACTCGATGTCGTCGCGCCGACACGAGCGCGCGAATACTCGATACCGTTCGGAAACCACGATCCACCTCAGCCGTTCGGCGAAAGCGTTTCTGGAAGTCTGCGGTTAGCCTACCGGTGTCAAGCTCCACGACACTCGTCACGATCGGAGTCGCAGCTAGGACTGCTAAGGACGTGAGGAACTGAGGACTGCGCGCGAGCGATACACCGAACTCCGCGCGGCGCGGGCGGTGCGGGCGGTGCGCGCCAGCGGGCCGACCGTTGCCGGGGACGCGCGAGCGTACCCGAAGCGCTTGCCGATTTCGCTCGGCTCGGCGACCTCGCTCGCGACAGTTCGCGATTTTGAATAATGGACACGTGTTATTCCATAAGGTGGTTTTTTTTGAACGTGTTCGCCGAATTGTTTGTTTGATAAGTATTTGATATTTAACTCTGTGAGTAATTCAATTATTGAATCACTTGCGCCATTTTTCGCTTGTATATTTATTCGATTACTGTAGCGCGAGCTGAATCGAACTCGCTTCAGTTGCGACATGTTTTTGCAGCTTACTTCAGTTTAACTTATATATATATTACAATTTTCGGAAAGACGGAATTTGAATTTGGACTGCGTTATTTCTTATATGCATTTTTCTAATAATTCTAAAAAATCTTTATTATTGAATTATTGCTTATTCTATATAATTGTGATTTTTTTAAATAATTTCTTATCTATAATAATCATCTTAGAAATAAAAATATAAAATCACGTAACGACGAATAATAATGATTAATTTTAATACATTATATATGTACACAATTATATTTTGCTTTAAAACATCCAATATACATATATATATGTTGAAGATTAACATAAATAAGAGTTTTATTATTCGATGTAAATTATATTATATAATTGACAATTAAAGAGCAGACTTTTAAAATGAGTTTTGTCCAAAATTTATAATTTTCAGCTAAGAATTTTCAGAAAACGAGAAAGAAATCCATACAGAGAAACCACACGCGCCTTACAAAAAATAACAATTTAACAATCAGTAAGATGTTAATAAGATTGCTACAATATTTCTAATAATATCAAACAAATGCCTTTTGTTTTTAGTTAAATGACATAAAATGCACTTCGAATATCTAGACTTTTTTCAGCATATAAATTGATAGTAAAAAAATATATACTTTCAGAATATCGTAGAGTAGCTTAAAATATGAGTCTTTCAACACTGAACACCATACAATCTCTAACTCAAAAAATGAAATTTTAGACAAAACGCATTTTGGAAATCTATTCCTCAATTATCAAATTATTATAATACCAAATAATCTTGAATAATTCATATAATTAATTTATTATCTTCGTGTGTATAATACAATTAATTTACTACTTTAATAATTCATGATTTATCTTACAAAAACTTTTACATCTTCGATTAAATTACTAAAATTATGGACAATTCACAATAGTAAAATATAGTTCGTAAGAGTTCGCAAAACGAAACCATGTAGTGATGATCCATTTTTTACCAATAAAGTGGTAATATACATTGCGTCGAAAACAAATTTAAGTTGATTCATTAACGTTGATGAGGCCAACCTGTCTACTTATTATGACATGGAAACGCATTGCGATGCTCATGTGAAACAGTTTGACACGTTTACGTTCTCATCATTTCGCTTTGTTTTGCAGTTCTCATGCATTATAGGTAACAAAGGAATACTTGTTATTGCGGTTACCTAAATCGAATACGCAAAAAAGTTAATCGTAGTCAAAAAAACGAAAAATATTTTCAATATTTTTTTTTTATTTGGAAATTATATCTGGAAATTGGGCAAACAAAAATCATAAAATAATTAATTATCTAATTGTAAGTTATAACATACAACTAGCGATGTTAAAGTATAAAGAAAGAAAAGCGCAAATATGAATATAATACGGTAATTGATGCGCGAATAAAATAATAAAAAAATAATTAAAATAAAAATATAATATAATCTTTTACAAATACATTTTGGAATTATCTCTTATTGGAATTATCTTCAGCTTATAATTGACGATTGTGAAATTAAGATTCTATTAACATCCTATTAACGTCAATACAAACTTTCCAGAAGTCTAGAAAATCCTTGTTAGAGGAGTATCATCAAAAACATATGAATAAAGCTTGGAATGTTAGCAAGTTAATTAATGATGTTAATTTGAGTTAGCAATTAGAATTATCTAAATTATCCAAATTGTTGAATTCGACTTACGTAAAAAGCATGCTAGATATCGTGCGAGCGCCATTTCGAAACGTTTCGTTATATTAAATCAGAAATTCATGTTTTCCCTGACTTTTCATATTCCTCAGTTTCTTTATTGACATTCTAGCTCTCTTACCACGATGAATATACTCCACGGACATCGACCTTTTCAAAAAATGTTACCTTGCGGGGGACAGAGAGATAAACCGTCCTGCATACCTCAGAGATTTTATCTCTTGGTTTTCATGTTTTTCCAAGAATGATAGTGTATTAAAATAATAGATAATATAAAAATGTAAATTTTATCACTTCTGCGATAAAAGTATTCTAGCTCAAAAATACTACATAAAAATATTTCTTTTAAATAAATAAACTTACCCAAAGAACAAAAATCGAGATCTTTAAGATATAAAGAACACTGAAAAATATTTTAATATTGTCTTAAATATATGTCAATTTTACTTTATTACTATCTTTAGAAATTAATATTTCGTTAACTATTGCCTATTGCAAAATGGCTCAGGACTTTTCAATTCAGTTTTTTTTTAATCAGAAAAAGCACTACATGATTAGAGCGCTTTTTAAGAAACACCCTGTACACTTTAAAAAATGTTTTACGAAATTTTAAAACGCTTCTTTATTTTACGACAATTAAAAGTATTGCAAAATAGTGAGATAATACATAACAAGGACGTTAGCGAATATTAAAAGCAAATATAAAAAAATACCGCAAGAATCTAATCTAATAATATCAATACTATCATATATCATCATATGAACTCAAAATATGAAATTCTATCGAGAATTAGATAACGGCTTCTTTGACGACAAGTGATTTATTTATAGATACATCTACGATAGTATATGCAACAAGAAGTAAATCGCTTTCTTATCGAAAGAAGCGGGGCTCCGCCTCAAATAAGATCCTATTGCGAATAATACATCTTTATCTCTACACATATTAAGTTAGCCTTCGGTTGGAAATTACAGAAATAATTTCACTTTATATATAGTTTTTCGACGGCGCATTAATTACGCACTAGTCGAGAAATTTCAAGATAAATTACAGTAAATTACGGTAAAGTTTCGAGAACGTAAATTCACAACAAAATATCAGAATCATTCGTAATATTTATTCGACGGAGAAGATCGAAGCTTTAATGATAATAATTTGTACATACGAAAAAAATAATACACTAAGTATGAAAAATCATATCCTATATAGTAATAAACACTCTAATTCGTGAAAATGTTTCCTTTCTTCAAACTGCTCGCGAGTATTTTCCAAAAATATAATATCCATTAAAAAAACTTTCGTTGTGTATGTGCATGGATACGTGCGTATATCAAAGGAGAGTATAATTACAAAACTAGTTGCGTAAAAATGTAATATTCACATTGTCATGATTCAGTGGACTAAATAATCACGAGCAATTTACGCTAATTTAATACATTTACACATTTATCTTATATTACAGCGAGAATGATACACCGAGAGATGTTTGCGCACAATGAGAAGGTCGATGCACGTAATAGAATGTTAGAAACACATATAGGCACTTGCCTTAGGTATCTAACAAGTGATTAGTAATTCGAAACGATACAAATATCTCACGATAATGTACTGTGGTCTAACTAGAACACGAAGACGATACCGATTTTTTGTTCTCCTTACAATAATACATTTTTAATACACGCTGAACAAAGCCAAGTAACTAAGTTGTCGGAGAGACACAAAATATTTTACTTCAAATATATATATATTTCGTGTCTGTTTTTTTTTTTTATATTAAAACGAAATTAATTCATTGTTATATCAAGGAAAAGGGAAATAATAAGGCAATATCGAAATACCGTCAACGATTAATGTTCGCGTTCTTGTAAATGCTATCATTAGAAATCCGTTATTTGCGTCACGTCCAACAATCAAAATTATCGATTATCATCTTATTAATATATACAAAAATATATATATACGCATCTCGTCAATTCTTCGTTTCACAGCCTGTTTTAAATAAAACGTAGCATACTCATTGCCGACGATGTACAAGTGGCTAAAATTTTTCAGTAGAATCAGTATTTGTGTTACATTAAATTCTATTTTATCGAATTCTTCGAAGTCTCTCTTATGCTATAATTAACGATAGAATAACAATCTTATGTGTTCATTAGAAAGCTCGTTTATCAAACGTCAAAGTTTGTCCGACAAGTATACAACTATTTAAAACACACTGTGCTATCGTTGATTCAATTTTTTCGGGCTTTTGTTACAACTTAAAAATTCCTTACTTGAAAGGTTCAAACTCATTTTTAGTTTTGTTTGTCAGTAATTATGCAAAGTTAATTCCTATAGACTCTCATCCACGATTTAGCTTAAAATAAAAATTCTATACATTCTGCATTTCGCACACAGTTCGCATTAAATGGACTTCTACGTAATATAAATTTTCCAAACAAGTTAAAAAAAAATTAGAATTTTAAATTCGTTCTATAATAGAATCAACTTTTATTCAAATATCCAATATTAATTTAGATAAGATGTTCTACTGTAATAACATTCTTATTGGAAAGTGTTTAAGTTATCGTTGTTAAAAATCAATATTCTTCATAAGATTGCTTCTCTAATAAATCTTGCAATCTAATAACATGTTTCCTTAATATTATTTGATTACATACTCTTAAATATAAGCATAATTTCCACATTGTGTGTGAAATAATACATAAAATTGTTATATTTAACAACAGTACAAAGCTACAACTTAATTTTGACAATTACAGAGAGATTTAAGAAAAGTCAAAATTAGTATTATTTATCTTTATGTAATAAATGAAAATAAAAAATAAAATAAGAACTACATATTATTATACCAACTATAATAAAGTCCATGTAATTATGCAAGCAATATTTACATGGAAATTAATAATCATTTGTGTCGATTGAAATTAAAAGGAGCATTATAAAATATAGTTATTATAATTATAGATTATTAGGAGTACGGGAAAAACACGTTCCCTTCTAAAAAATAACAAAGATGGAAAAATATAAAGTGAAGAGAATCATAAAATTATAAAGAGAAGTATAATAAACGCTAAACGCAAGAGTTGTATAGCCTCTGGTGCTAAAACAGCGAATATTTACAAATTATTATGTCGGGAAGGCAGAGTAGATATGCTAATTTATCTGCTTGTCTTAATCGTTTCCTTTTATTTTATACAAACTATAGCTTATGCTTATTCTATATTCTGATATATTCTAATACCCTATATATATATAATCTAATTGTAATACACACATCTCTCAGTCTATTCTGTACATACGATTGGCGCAAAGAAAATCCTCGCTTGTCGCCTTGTGCACTCAGTAGATGTTTTAAAAGCCGATACAAAAGATCGACAGACATCTGGCCTCGTGGTACGCAATAGTACGCAACAATATATTCCGAAAACGATTCATCGCGTTCATTGCTATACTGAGAATATTTCGTAGCGCATCAACACGTTGTTTGGGTCACTTTGTAACCTACCCTTATTTCAAGGTATATCAATCTTAATAGTTAAGGTAACACGTATTATAGACCGTGTATTTAAGATTGCTGCAAATGATGCAATCTTGTGATCATAAATAATTAATCATCTCGCGTAGAAACTACTTCGTATGATCCACAAAGAAAGGCGCGATATAAGATTTAAAAAACGAAATATTAATAATATTCTTTTTTAGATAAATCGATTACAAAATTATAAAGGCGTACATCACGGTTCATCCGTGATTCGTCCGCTATCGGTATGAAATGAAATTGACAATTTTTTGTAAAATGATAATCTAACGAAATAATACAGACGAGTACTTTCATCATTGTATTAAGGTAAAACAGGCATGATATTGTATCTTAACATAATTGAATTCTGAGATGCGCACGCGCGCGTGTGTATGTGTGTGTGTATACGTGTGTGGAAGCACAAAAACAATTTTTTTATGTGCATCGTGCAGTGTTGTATCTATTTGTGAACAGAAATTTCATAGCTATAGGTAAATGCAGATGATTGACTAGCGATGCTTCTAGCATCTAAAAATATTTTGGCAAATACATATGAAAGATACAATTGATAAAGAAATGTTCACTATGTATGATCGCTGTATCATGTCGCGCGATTACGCTATAATACTTCACATTTTAAGTTCGCTTATTCGCTTGTAAATAATGCTCGAATAATGCACGAATTGCAGTAGTTTGGTCAAAAATAATTAATATTAACTTTGCATCGCGAGTTAATAGATCGAGTTAATAGAGTCATTATTATCGCAAACACCCCGGAGTCTCGTGCGGAGCTAGCAGACAACACAAAGTGGGCTAATGAGTCCTAGGACGAGGAATGTCGTTTTCCTAGACTCCAGCTTCTTCCGTGTCAGTGGTACTGCTGTGGTACTCCTGGGGCTGAGAAAGGGAAAGAAGTGCATCCAGGCCTAATGATTCAGCTGAATCTAGCGCGGATCTCGACTATAATGTTTAACACAAAAAAATCTGCCTCTAAAACTATAATTGAATATATAACAAAACAATGCAACAAAGGTGGAAGTGAAATTTTTCTCGAATTAATTAAATTTCACGATGTGGGATGTCACATATATTCGCATGCATATTTATTATACCTATAAAACAAAATGTAAAATGCGGCCGATATACACGATGATAATATACACAATCTCTGGTAATGTACAGAACCTTATGGATTTTACAAAATTAAAAAAGGAGAAAACACGGTATACATTATGTTTTTCCGAACACTTTTTTCCTTACCGATGCACTTTGATCGGCTTCTTTACAGTTGCTACAAATATAATCATCTTCCTCCGCAATTTCTGTACGATCCAATCCGACACAATGCATATGGAACCAACCTTCGCAGCCACCATCACACTGAACCCAATCAACTTCCTTACCTAAATAACAAATAAAATAAATACGTGCTGAAATTTAGACAAAATAAAATATAATTTAAAAAATAAATAAGGGTATAATCAAAATACTCAAATCAAATTATATACAAAAATAATTCATGCAACATACTACGTGATCAAAAAATTTATGTACACGATTGTTGGAAACATGTTTATTAATGACATTATCCATTGTATATAGCACGATATATAATTATTATATATATGTATATATATTATATATAGAGAGGAGAGAGAAAGAGAGAGAGAGGATATTTATAACACTTAGAAGATATCATTAGAACTGTGTTGCGAATATATTATCCTTACCACTAGGCCGTAAGCAGTTAACCGCCGCGCAATCATCCTCCTCATCCGAACTTTCTTGCTTAGTCTTCTTTGTACGATTACCACCTCGCTTTCTAGGGCCTTCCTCACCCTCGCTCTTGCGTTTCATCTGCAATTCATAATTAACTGAAATTGAGCTGTTCAATGTTCGCGAAGCTATGAATTATCGATTGTCAAAGTCGTTAAAAAATGTCTCGAATTCAAACTTTTTACAAATAATCGATTTATTGTGTTCACAAAATAGATCTAGAATTAAATAATCTTATTATGACTATATTTTATGTGAAAAATAAATTTATTATATAAAAAATTGTTTTTTTCTAACAAAATGAATATTTTTCTTAATACGAAAGATTTAATTCGAGACATGATTGTTATCGATAAGTTAAGTACCTTTCGAGGTCCACGTTTTAAAGGAACCGGTGAACTACTCTGCCTCTTTTCCTTAGTGGTAGGACCGCTGCTTTTGCTACGTTTAATTATGTTCTTCTCTTCAACTTTTGGTCGTCCAGTTTTCTTAAGTGATTCAAATTCTTCCGATTTCCTCTTTCTACCCCGTTTCTTCACATCTTTCATCTCCTGATTCGCTTGAACTTCCTCGAGCGATTTGTATTTTCGCATGGTGTTGTGGGTATTCATGTAACTCAATATACGCCAAATGTGTTGTGTTTCGTCCAAGGCAACTTCTAATAGATCACCTTCCATCATAAGTTCCTCCAAACGTAATCTCGTGCTTGAAGATAATGTGCCGAATGATTCACTATCACTCGATTGAGTTTTCCGCCGAATTTTCGAGACTGAAATAAAAATACAAAATGCAATTATTTACTGATAAAATATTTTAAATATCGCTTATATTTATCGCAATTCGAGAAACTTACTGTACGAGTATGCATGTTCGTTACTATTGAAAGTACTACATGTTGGTTCGTCATCTAGGGGAACAACATCATCATCGTCATCCTAAAATATTTAAAATATTCATGTATATGTATATTTTGTTTTATTTATAAATAATAATAGTTTACAATTGATAAATTTATCATAACCCATATCAGAATCGATACTCACAGCAGTACTAGGCGAGCTATCGTCCGAATGTACTCCGCTAAGGGGCGCGATAGCTTGCACTCTTTGATGCAGCTCAGGATTATTTGCTGCCTTTTTCAACTCGCTGCTGATAATTTTTTCTGTTTTCTCCCTTGCCGCAGCTTCTACTAACTTTTGCGACATTACGGAAAGTTTTGACAGTATCGATGAGACCTCGTCGGTAGATAATGCTTTCCTCGCTCGATCCTAATTAACACGTTAGTTAAAGATATGGTTTGTTTAGACGATGAAAAATACCATATTTGATGAGAATACCTACCTGCCAATTCATCGCACGTTCCGTTAAACACTGCAACGCTTCTCCTTCTGGTAATCGGATTGGAATTTTTTGAAGACTCACTAAGAGAGCCAGTATAGTTTCCAGACGAGGTCGTCGAGAACGTTGACAGCATGGACACAAAAATTTCATATCCTTTGGACCTGGCGTTTTACTTTTGTACAGTGCCTTGGACAAAGGTACACAATTTGCTGTAAAATAAAAATTTATATACAATTAGTTAACCATATTTAGCTTGTTTCTGTTATTTAAACTGCTGTACTTACTGTGGAACCAATCCTTGCAAAGTTCGCACTGGAGCATAATGCCAAATCTCGGTCGCCGGCAAACACAATACTTGGAATCTTCTGCTTCCGCTTTCATCTTCATTAAATTTCTCTCTCTCAAGCTTCTCATCGCCTCCATTTCGCGCTGTTCTGCAAGTTTGAAGGCAGCTACCACGTTCGCTGAATTGCTGGAATCGTCCAATTTTGTATCACAGACACAAACGGCACCTATGGATTCGTCACCCTTGTTCTTCTTAGTTTTCATCGCTTGTACACCGACGCCTATTCGCGGCGACAGAGCTTCCATCAACGTATAGTGCGAATTCTTTCTCAAAAAAGTTCTCGCGGTCCTTTCTTTCCATGTTTTTGCTTGCAAGAGAGTAGATTCCAATGTTGGAAGATCATTTAGATGCAAAGGAATATTTTTTCCCTTTCTTAACAAATCGTCTAATGTATCATAATAAGGGAAGTTTTCTCTCGCTCGTATTTCATCAATCATTTTCGTCCAATTCTTTGCTTTGTTCAGTATATCTTGAAGAGTATCTAAACTCGGTAAATATGCTTCAACTTCATCTGCTTCGCGAATAAACTCCTCTACAGCCACGATGGTTCGTCTATTTTTGGTGTTAAGAAACATCTTAGCCTTTTCTTCCCATTTATCGATTGCTTTTGTTAACATGTGTAATTCTGACAATGTATTTTCAATACTGTCATGAGGCGGTATCGTCATGCCTTTTTCGATTAACTTAACCACCTCTTCACGACTAACAGATTTTGGATCATCTTGGAAAGATTTCACTTCATCTAGCCACTGTGTTTGTGTCAATTTCTATAAAATAAAACAGGTCTTGTGAAAACAAAATATCTAATTTGAAAAATAAATGTACATCTATGTACAATTACATACTTGTTTCAATCGTACTAGTTGAGGTAATTCGATACTGATAGAGTCACCAAAGTCGATGCATTTCTCTAACTTTTCCATATCGCAATCTTCTTTAGATTCCAATTCTTCTGCATCCTTTTGAAACTGTGATACTTGATCGAGTATAAATTTTATACCATCTGATTCCTTAAGTTCACAGTTTAGATTTGTTATTTCTTTATAGAAAAGCGTCAATTCTTCTACAGTAAGTTTATACTTGGTATCAACTGTCTGCCTAGTCCTATGTAAATGAGAATTTTGTGAAAGTAAATAAATAGTAAGATGCCATTACATACAAACGTCTGACATCAAGCATCCAGCATTGAGTTTACTATTTGCCAAAAACAGGTCACGTAATCAAAACTGATAAATAGCAAGCTCACAATGCTCGACGTTCGATATTTCCGTGAGAAGGTACCTATAAAATACCGCAATAAAATTTTTACTAACCTTGTACGTTGTTTATTGTTTAGTACCTGTTGTGCAACGCTCGCGCATTTCTCAGCATCTTGCACAGCAGTTTTTAAAGCTGTCAATAACTCGCTATCGGGGAATTTTTTGTTCTCAGCTTCAGTCAAAAGTTCTTTCAACTCGTTTAATTCAATTTTATCGATGTTAGGATCCATCGCTTCTCTTACTTTAGCCACCCACGAGTCAAACGACTCGGCTTTTAACTTTAATTTTTGCAACATGATGGGTAACTCGTCTAATGTATATCGATAACGCAACGTATGCTTCTCTGGTGGACACTCACACAAGTCAGCAAAGTGTCTCAGACAAACTAACTGCGAGCTGTGGCATGAACATGTAACCGCACTCAAAAAACAGGTAGTCTTGCATGCTTCGCACTGTCTCTCGTCATCTGGGAGAAGCTCGAAAGCTTCACGTTCTGCCTCCGTCACACCCTGAACAGAACAAATTATCCAGATTCACACACACCGATACAATAAATCTATCCCATTACGTCCGGTCCTAGCAACTTTCCAACGAAACAATTGAGACGCGCAGAAACACGTTGGAATATCGATTTGAAAGTCGTATTTCATCGATGCACACGTAACCACATGTATCCCCGCCCGGAGGGCAAACGTAACGTCCCGCAAAGTCCTGCTTCAAGGATTTGGCGCACAAACACGTGCTTCTAGCAAGTTCCACGGAACAGCCGCGAGAAAACAAGTTGCGCGTTTAGCATCATGGCACACAAAACTTCGAAAACATAACCTTTTTTTACTCACCTACATATATGTAAGTTACATAACTAGAATAAAGGCGCAGCAACTAAAACATCAGACAGTCAAGGCCGACCGCCACGACTACGACTCTCGACAATGCAACGATAACAGCAGGTTCGACGGAATCAGCAATAGCGAAAATACGTGGCGACATTAATTACGTATATAACGTGGACAGACGGTCCAATGCCAGCACCGAATGGTTGGCGCGAGCGACCACGGATGCGTATGTATACGAATTTTGCCGCGCGGGTCCGACGAGTCGCGTGTGTGTGTACGTGTGTTTATGTATTGGCGCGTGCGCGCGCTCTTGGCATATAACGTACTACCTAGCCTAAATATATCGACCTTCCAGGGCAAAAGAGTATTATCAGTGTTCACATGTTAGACCACTCTCACCCCCTCCCTATCTCTGTTTTTCGTTGGAAACAAGATCGTATTCATATCCCAGAGTTTTTAGAGCATTTATCGATTCGCGGCGCAGAAAATTAACTTTTATATATACTCATGTCATAGAATTAACATTATATTTACATTAAAAATATAGATATAAATTCCATCCTTATTAAATATGAATATGAATATTCATTAAATTGTGTAAAATAAATGTAAAATACAACATTTTACGTTTTAAACATCAAATAAATAATATTGTTACATTTACACACAACAACAATAATATCAGTTAAAGAATAAAAATACAAAATTAAGTTCATTGTAAAACAATTTGAATATTTAAAGGTAACAAATATATTAAATTTTCACCAAAAACTTGTATCATAAAATACTACAAGTTTTCACATTAAAAATTGTAATATATTGAATATTGTTATATAAACTTACCCATTCTAACAAGTTTTTCCGTAACTTTTTCTCATCCTCCACCATTTGCAACATATCATGATACGTGGCGGTTGCGATTCCAATATCTAACGAATCTGGATCCAATGACATTTTACAAACTAGTTCATCGTGGGAAAACACACAGAATCTTCTTAAGTTTGAGTAATGCGTGATGCAATCTCGCCCGATCTTAAGCTAATGAAAAAGAAATACAATTAATTTACAACGTACAACTTGTATAATTTGTATGCATTCGTGATATATATGTAAAGTATAATTTAAATTTATGTCTAAATTCTAAACAGAATCGTAAAGTTCATAACGTATTCTTGTAAGACTTATAAAAACTTTTAACTGCTTATATCTTTATATAATATCTTTGCAGACAGTTTCTTACTAGCCATAAAATTTACAAGAGAAAGAAATCGTAGATATTTATTAACAATCGTACGTCTTACGATACATACGCATAAAATTAAAATATTAGCTACAAGTTTTTACAAGTTTTATGAGAACAAGTTACGAATCTTACAAAATTGCTAAATGTTCTAATACTGGAATTATCTTTATTTTATTTGTATTTAAACGAGCTTGAATATATCATAATTTACATACCCAATCTGCAGGTGCAAAATTGACAGCTTCTGCAAAATTGTAACCCTGATTAAAGCCAGCGTGGTATGCTCTTGGAAATGTGACGACAAATTCACCTGCATGTTGATCTGTTCTAAATACTGGTACTCCTGTTAAACAATTATAAAATTATATAAATTATAAACTTATGGCGAATTCGATTGGATGCACTAGTGCGCACTGAGTGCACCTGAGTTCATCTTTCTTCCTTTTCTTTCCAGGAGAAGGGAAAAAGAAAAAAGATGAACTGGTGCAATCACACTGCACTGGTGCAATCCAATCGAATTCGCCATTAGAAAATGCAGTTGCGAATACTAGGTAAATATCAAAGTCTGGATTAAAAATAAATCTTAAATATCTTAGTATTTATTTCAAGACCATCTTAAGTAATGCCTTAAGTTCTCTGGCCGGTATTCATAGTCAGTTCATATATTCAAGATCGTTTTAAGTTCAGTCTTGAGATGTCACGAACCGATTAGAGGGCCGTATTAGTGTCTTAAAAGTCTAAAATAAGAGCGAACTATTAATAATCAGCCTCTAACTGATTCGTGACACCTCAAGACTGAACTTAAGACGATCTTGAATATAAAAATTGACTATAAATACCGACTTCAATTATCTCTTTTTTTACAAAACACATTTTAATTTTATTTTATTACAATTTTAATTACACGTAGAAATCTTATACCTCCATTTATCAATATGTTTGGGTTCATGATAGTAACAAGTTGATGCAACAGATCGGGCTGGCTATGAAACAATTCCGGAGCGGCGGACTTCATGGATTGTTCGAAGCGTTCTGCTTGAGAACCCGGTACTCCATACCATGTCTTTGGTTCTCCCCAATGCAGATAATTAATGGAATAGCTCCAATGATCTTCATTGTGCCAACAGAATGTCGCGAAGCACATGCCGACATACATCCAAGGAACTTTCATGCCACTAATGTCAGCATTAATGTGACCCAGAATGCTTCCACGTAAAACCGGCAAATTATTTAAATTCCATGAAGATTCAGCATACTCTTGATCACAAGTGAATAAATTAACGCTGGTCTTGGTTGGAAATCCGGATCCATGATCCATCGTATGCAAATCGGCACCGTATTCTACAGTCACGTCTTCATCAATGGACGAGACTATTCGCCAAAACTCCTTTTCCACCAGTGATGTTGGAACCATCTACAGAGAAAAAAAATTATTAAGCATATAATGAAAAGAAAAAATATATACATATATTTCTTTTATAACGACCAGCAATGACTTACATGCACAGGCATATTGAAATAGTCGCTTTTGAATTGATCGGCCATTTCTCCGAATTGCTGCAGGGTGTATTCTCTCTGCGCTTGCTCGAAACCAAATGCCTCCATTGGCTTCGAAACTTCTTCGGCAACGCATTTGGGACATCGCCAGTCTCCCTTTGGTATTTCCGTTAATGGTGGCATAAGACAAAACGTATGATAGCTGTCATCACAGCCGTCACATAACAACATATTTTCTTCATTGTCGCCTCTCCCACAATTGTGACAAATATATTTTGCCAACTAAATGAGAATAAAAGAAAAGATAATAAATTAGTTATTGAATTATATATATTTTTTATAAAATATTGTAATATAAAGAATGTAAAATTCTACTTACAGGATCAAACTCATAAACGAGTTTCAAGCCACGCGTTTTATTAGATTTCTTTCCCTCTTTGGTATTAAAGCCGGCCATTTTCGGGCCTGGTCCATAAAATTGTAACTTCTTGAGTTCTTTGCTTTTATCCATATCGCAATTGAAATATCTGCTCTTAATTTTATCCTTACACTCGTTGTCTGAGTCGCATTCTTCCTTGCAATCGTCCTGTTTAATCGATACATCTTGCTTCTCTTCTTGCCCGGAATATCGCTTAGATCGTCGTGAGAATTTTTCATTCGGTGGTTTAATTTGCTGTCGAGATATTATTCCATGTGGTTTATAATCGCGATCTTTCTTCTCATTTGCGTCCGAATCCGGCTCAATTTTCTATAACAAAAGGTTAGTTTGTAATTAACTAGAAAAAATAATTACATAATTTTTATATATATATATATATATTACTAGTTTAAATAAATTACAATTAAATTACAAATAAATTAATTTTATCAAAATTTCGAAATTAGCATTGTAATGAATAATTTCCTGCGAAATAGAACTTGACTTACAATATCTGACAATGTCTTTCCTTGCTTGAAAACGTCAAAGGGATATAAAATTCTCTCATAGTGATTCTTCAATATGCTGCCTACACTTCGCCCAGATGGATAACCCAATTTATTAGCAATTTTTGCCCATCTTCTTTCCTTAGTCACAGTTTCTATACCGCCTATAAATAATTCATAAAAATTAAATATATAAAGTGTGCAAAAATAAAATACATAAAACTATAACTAATAACTATAACTAATAATTAATAACTATATACTGTATATATAAAATTTACCTTCGTCAGTGACTATTTTATGTAAAGAATACAAGTCCAGAGCTTTACGTTCCACAAGCGGAATTTTTAAGGAGGAACCTTGAAGCTCCCAAAACTTTGCAATTTGATCTAAAAAATTAAGCTTTATCCTGGTCTTGGCTTCTAATTCATTTAACCTTTGTATTCTCGGAACAAATTTGAACTTGTCCACGTCCACGGCAAATGGTGGCTGCCAATTCTGTAACACAAGCCGTATAATACTTTATAGATATCTACAAAAAAGTTTGATTTAACAATTTTATCTTGATAAGTATAGAGAAAGAAAATTCGCGTTTCTGTCCTTCCTTCGCGCGTTCCTCTCTTTGATAATTCTATATATAAAGTTCAAGTTCTGAAAAGTATTCTCGATTTCAGTCGAATAGTGGTCGCATGTTCCTCACATCGACAATGCATATTACTTATTCAAGGAGTTGAAGATCCGGTACTACTTCGGGTCATAACTAGAGGCGCAGCTATAGTATACGTGGCCCTTACTTTGCTGTAGCGTAACTAACGTTCGATAGCAACGATAAGGAGATAATTGAGTTTTCAACAAACTTCGCTTCCTTCGAAACGTATAGCATACACATTGGATTAAATTTGGAATGAAAATATCAGCGTGTAGATTTCATCTTTCATTGGAATCTGACAAATTACGGTATTTTACCGGCCTGAATATTTAATACTGTATTATTACACATATACTGTTATAAAAGATATTCGTAGATCTTTAATTAAATAAATATGTAGATAATATTTTATCTGTAAGATGGCAATCGCATTGTTATTGTATTTTATCTATAGTGAACTTGAAAGTCTTCACACAGTTCAGTTAGTGCAGCAAAATCTAGATTCTTTCTATTGAGATATTTATATGTATGATTAATCAATATCTCATAATCTACCCTGCATAACAATCGTGTCTCTAAATATACATCTATACATTCTATATATATATATACTCTCCTATGTGTAAATTATGTGCTAAAACAATTAAACGAAATAATCAATAAACTCTGAAAGCTTGTTTATGTGATGAGTATGAAGATTATTTGTGAAAACGGAAAAAATGTGAGGTACATACAAATCTCGTGCATGCGATATGTTATAGTGCTAATTAATGAATATATTTTCATAATTCTTTTTTTATTCTATCGCAAATTACTTATACTGCATTGTTTATAAAAAAATTAGGTCCAACAAATGATATCGTATATATTAATTGAACCAATTATATTCAAGTGTTACAAGGACTCAAATACCTGATCAGCATCGTAAAGAAAAAAGTTGATTCAAATCCGAAAAGAATTTACATGTAGTTGCGTAGAGTATTTTTTTAATGTTTTCAGTACAAGTTGGTGTTTGAATTTAAATAATTATTATTAATTTTTTCTTGTATAAATATTTTATCTTTTTCTCTCATTCGTTATTCGTTTAGATAACATATTATTTATTTTTTCGATAACAAAACTCAACGTTTTAAACGTTCCTCAATCCATTAATTACGTTATGCAATTAAATATTAATATAAAATTCCTTGCAACGAATATTGCACGCGCGGCGATATTCCGATACGCAACAAAGTATAGTCCAAATAGTTAATCTCATTCAGCGTCACGTTGAAATGCTATAGTAATTGTAAAGTTCATCAATCAAGCTATCGTTTTACGAGCGTCCAACGGCCGTGTGTAACGTCGCGCATTTCCTACGACACAACTTCCGTAATGGCGGCATGCTCTCGGGAAAATATCAGGCTCTGTAGAAAGTATACTAGTGGTCTTCTCACGAGTGTATCATTGTGTTCTTCAACCGTGCACAATACTGACACAAGCTGATTTTAATAACAATTCAGTAGGGAGCAGAGATCTTTGGAAAGCAGAATTTTGACGCGCTTATTCATCGCGATACCAATAGAGTAGACCAATTTATATATTATGAATCTTCTTCAAAGAGATGGTGATGATTTGACGAATTATAATAACCCGGAAGCAAGCGAAATATGGGCAAATATCTTGAATTGTATAGATACATTTTTGTACGTTCAAACATTTATATATTCAAACATTTATATATACATATCTTTCTCATTTCCCTTCCCCCTCACCTCCCCCTCTCGCTCTCTTTCAATGGAAAAAAATGATTTTATATTTTTTATATCACGAGACACGGAGGTATTTCGAGTATCAAGTGCACATTATATATATATACATACATATATACATACTACATATACATGTATATGTAATTTAGGTACGACGTGGCCACCCCGAGCGCCTAACTCTGACGTGACGCCGCAATATAATTCTTTTATTGATTCTCTTTGGAAGAATCCGCGAATGACAAGATTTTTGATGAATCTATACGATCGAAAGCTTCACTACACACTTATCGCATTATCAACGATCGCACTTTGAAGATTTCGAAGCAAATCGAAGATAAACTTGCAGTTCACCTCGTTATTTCCGGCTCGTTTTCGCAAAATGTAGAGAGAATATCGATTCCATGTACTTTTCTCAGCCGACGAAAGCGACAGTTGTGATCAGAATATTTGAAAACTCGATAAAAGAATTAAGAACTCAGTCTTATTACGGGACGAAATTCGAGAAACTATTTTTGCAAACACACGATTTTTAAATACACGATTAATGAATTCGATTATATTATATGCTCGTTCGGTTTTTATCAATACGAACGCTGTTACTGATAAAGATTGCTGCTCGAAAACTAGCCGACATTGCGCATGGTCTTTGACGAATTTCCACATTCACGTTACACTTTTCCACACAAATTTCAGAAGTCGGTAAGTACTAGAAAACCAGTAAACAAATCCGAGCTTTTCTTGGATGTCACGTTGAAAATGATTAGATAAAAATGAGTATTGTATCGTAATTATGCACTATCACTCGTAAATCGCATCTAGGAACGAAGGAACAAAACGTCATAGAGACGACAGCTTATAGAATAAATTTCTTGCAGCAAACAGCTTGTAGAATAAATTTTTTTTCAGTAGATGAGAGAGAGAGAGAGAGAGAGAGAGAGAGAACAAACAATTAGCTACAGCCGGAACAATTATTAGGTATCGATTAGCCGGTGTAGGTAAAAATCAATAATTTCTTGAGTGCCGGCGCCTTGATGCTTTTGACGGGCAGACTTATACCTGTCCGAAGAAAATGACGCAACACAATCGCGAACGCGTTATCGTTTCACCTTCGGGTAATGTTTTCTCTGAGAATTGGTCGCGATCTCGACGGTTATTAAAGATTACCATTATCTCGATGAGCTGAAAATTTCTGGCGCGGAGCAGTGCGATCGGAAGAAGAAATCTCCCGGATGAATAGAAACGGCTTCTTCCCAAAAGTGGAAAAAAACACGGAAACATGATATTTTAGCTTTTAAGTCGGACAGATACGATCGTTACGCTCAAAGTGGTTCAATAATTATCGTTAAATAAACGTCCATGCATTTTTTTCTAGAAGACGTTCTCGAATCCCTGGAGGAAAGATGTCGCTGAAATTAATCCGCAGGTTTCATCTTCAGGTGTTAGCGAGTTCAACATTTTTCAGTACGTTAGCTGAAATTTCTGCAACTTTCAGCAATCTCGCTATGAAGTCTCAAAACCTAGAATAATTACAGTGAAATTTTTCACCAAAGCACAATCGCGTCGACGGACGGCATTCCCACATTTTGCACGCATCGACTTAGGGTCGGATCACGTGAGCCAAAAACGATCCATTCGTGAATCCGACCCAACGCTCGCTTCACCCACGCATTCAGGAAGGAAAGCCGAGATTTCCGACATCCAAGTTTTTCCTCTTTATATGCGGAAACAAGATGGTGGCGCAAATCGTTTCTAATGGTGGCATAAACTATAACGACGTGCGACGAACGAATGACAAAGAGTCGAGAAACGATGCTCAGGTAGGAGGATCGCGACAGGTTTCGCGTGTATCAAGTAAATAGATCCGAATTGCAACGGGAGAGCCCTGGCTACGGTCGAGAGCTCGCCGAGTGAAAGGTGACGATATAGCGCGGAAAAAAATTATGTCATGCGGCGAACTGCAACGCGCCCAGTGATGAGATTTCCTCGGAACCGGAACACGCCCTCGACGAAGCCTCGTAGTCCGGTCTAAACGCACCTCGTGCACCCGAACGAGGCCCGAGGGGGTGAAAACGAGGAGAAAGACGAGAGTCCACATTTGAGAAGCGCCTTCCTGACAATTGCGCGAGAATAACGGGATCGCGTCGGCGTCGCGAAATTCTCTGTCCCCGACAAGAATCGAAGGAAATCTCGCGATATCCTTTACCCACGACTTTCCGCGGTGCCCGATGAGCCACCTCGAAGAGCTTCCTCGACAAGGTGACCGTCGTGTCCCTCATTGTCTCGGCCATTTTACATGGCGGTCGCCGTTGTACCGTCCGCGGTTATCATAATTTAACGTGAACCGATCGCGACTGATCTTTATTTAAATTCGTATCGATATTTCCAGCATCGTTTTTTTTTTTTTTTATTAATATCGATGTCGTTAGTAATTTTCGAAAAAGAGCATCCATTGACATCGTCCTGGCGTTGCGAACGAAGAAAAGAGCGAGGTTCTTCTTCATCTCTCGCTTCGTTTTAATCGCCATAGCGTCTATACGCTTTTTCCTAGGTTTCCTCTTTCCTTCACGCAATTTTGTCGACGTAACGATACGTAAGGTTGTTACATTTCGCAAACGCAGGAAACATGGAGAACACTCCGTGGAAAATACGGCGTGCGAATGGGACGCGCATGTAGTGCACGAGGAAGCTTCGTAACCGCTGGACCTTCTTTCCCATTCTCGTCGCCGTCGTCAACGTACCGTAATCGTCGCCCAGAGAGACAGAGAAAGAGAGCGAGAGAGAGAGAGAGAACTAGAACTTTAAAAAACGCATCGCAGTGCATAAAAACGAGGTCGCGCACTCCTCGTCCGCGAGGATCCGCGTGCCTTCTCTTTCGAGCCGCACGAGAAAGGAAAGCGGAAGGACCCCGTCGACGTCGACGATGACGATGACGACGTCGACGACGATGACACACGGGTAGGGCAACGCTTCGCTCGAGATGACGCGCCTTAAGAGCCATGTGTCCGCCTCTCGTCGATCTGTGTGGGTGCTACTCACGGGCGGCGGTTTAATCTTGCAGATGCCGGAGCGCTCGGCGATCGGTCGTATCTTGGCGATGTAGGCGAGCGGGTCGTGGAACTCCTCGTTGGTCGGCTCGAACACCGGTGCTTCCGGCGGCACCGTGAACTCGAAATCGGTCTCGGTGCGTTCGCAGGCCGCGACGTCTTGGACGCAACGTAGTTGATTCCCCGAGGGACGATTCTCAGTGCTTCTCGAACCCATGATGCGCGGAGCGAGGCACACACGCACGCACGCACGCACACGCTACTTCCGACGCTGGTCAGCACGCACGCACTTCAAATTCGAGCGAAAGCCTCGCCGCCAGGCACCACGAGTGGAACGACGACGACGTCGCGCTACTCGACCCGGATTACTCGCGCGACCACATTGCCACGAGTTCCCGAATCGATCATGTTCCCGGACGTCGTTACTTCGACGGTTGTCGTTGCCGCTGCTGTTCACCTCCGCTGCCGCGACTGCTGCTTGACAATAAACGACGCGCGAATCACGCGGATGCAGCATCGACGTCGTTACGTGAAGTCCCGCACACGACCCACCGCGACTGCTGATTACCTCCTCTCCTCTCCGTGTTACGCTCACGTCGCTCTCGCTCGTCCCTTCCCTGCTGCCGCACCTGACCTGTGTCGTACTTGAGCAACGGCTCGACGACTGCGCCATCGGTGGACGAGTGGTGGACGACGAGCCCCGTGAGCCGTGAGATATCCGTTTCGTCGTCGATTTTCGCAGATTTGTCCGTTTTGTGGGCTGAGATGCCACATTGCAGACGTGCCACGCGAATAATCGAAGAGAGGGAATGCGCGCGCGGGAGAGAAGCCAGCTACTTATATCCCCTCTCCACGCGCAATTCATCCTGCCACGTTCTTTGTCCCTGCACTGGATTCTACTCGCCTTGTTCGCTAAATTTTTTTTATTATACACTTGTCTCATTTTTAATTATGTAACAAGTATATAATAACAAGTACGCTAGTTAAGCTAGACAGATGAGATCCTGTTAAAGATGCTCGGCGCTTATAGAAGTTCACGTGACTGTTAACATTTAAGTATTAAGGCTCGATTGCACCGACGTGATTTCGGTTTTATGCGAGACTTTTAAATACTGTCTCTGTTTCTCTTTTGACTTTAATACGAGATAGAGTTTTAAAAGTGTCGCTTAAAATCAAGTAATGTTGATGCAATCGGGTCTTAGATTAGGAAATTTTTGGTATACCGTTTATCCTGATACGGTGAACGCTAAAGTCACGTTATCTTTTTCTTCATACCTATTATAATTAAGAAAAGGATAACGTGACTTTAACGTTCACCGTATCTGCGAGATAACGGTATTGCAAAAACTCCCTATTAATAAACTGATAATACACGGTACTAATTTCATAATTTATTAGCTTCATATCATACATATACAAAAGTTTAAAACTACTTGATTTTTATTAAAAACTGTGATTTTAATGTTATCATCCGAGGTTGATTATCAATAGAGATGATAACTGCAAAGAAAGAATTGTAATTCTTCGGTAATACATAAGATATTATAATATACGTATTTCTTTATACAGCATTTATATAATAAAAATATCACAAATTTAATAATGTATTACCAAAATATTTATGTTATAATAATAATAATCGCAATTTTTTATTGTCAATAATGGCATCGTTCTTCAATTATCCCCAGATTCTCGAGACCTTATTAATATAGTCACAAAAATTTGTCCAAGACCGAGTATTTTTAATAATATTTCCTCGGTAACAAAATAGATTTGTAATCTCGCTCCAGCGTCACGTGAGTCCAGGATCTTGCGCAGATGGTGTAGATTGCAAAGCCCATTCTACAATAGGCAGTAGCAGTAGCGGATCAAGGAATAGGCATAGAAATCGACCAATGATAGTTAATTATTCTCCTGACATTCGATTATAATTTGTTGATTTCTACACCTACACCTTAATCCACTACTGCTACTACCCATTGTAGAATGGGCTTAAGAAGGCTCGTGATACGTTATTTTTTTACTTTGCGATAGTGATTGGGTGTGTTCTTTAAAGTCGTAATCACACTAGCGATTGAGCGATTGTGATTGACGATTGAGGATTATTTTTCAATCAATTAGAACAAAGCAGTCACCGATTGCTTTTCTCTGATTGGTTGAGAAGTAATCCTCAATCGTCAACCACAATCGCACAATCGCTGGTGTGATTACGGCTTTAGGCATCGTATTTGCCGGTCGCGTGTTTTTTATACGATCACACAGATACGTAGCCGGTTGCGCAGCTAAAGTGGGGAGCACAGACTTTTGCATAACGCATAAAGCATGTGCATAAGGAATTTCATTGGCCCATTTCCTTATGCATGATTCAATGAACCAATCAAATTCTTTATGTATGTATACGGTTTATGCGTTATGCAAAAGTCTGTACTCCCCGCTTAATTCTAATCGTCTACATATCTTCTGTGTATCCATTGCCAAAAGAACGAAAATCTGCGCTGCAATCGACTGTGCAGTTATATTAAAAGAACAAATTATTGCAAGAACTGCTGTGTATCCGATGTCTAAAAAGACGCACCTATTATGTAATATAACGAAGGCTGCGCACGAGACTGAATGAAGTCTCCTTATATCTTCCTTCATGGATTAAGGGTAGGTGTAGAAATCAATCATAGTCGAATGTGAGGAGGATAATTAACTATCATTGGTTTTAGGAGGATAATTAACTACCATTGTAGTAGAATGTGGGCTTAAGAATATACTTAACATTCTCAAATATAAACCCTGATCCACAATTGTGTAAACGATGTTGTAAGAATTGACCAATTACGGTTAAATACAAGGAAAATATCCAACTGTGATTGGACAATTCTTACAACGTGATCATTTACAACTACGTTTACACAGTTGTAAATCAAGCTTAAAAATCAACTATAAATACTTTCAAATGTTGCAAAATTTTTTAGTATGATATGATTGGTTTATACATTTACAGCGTTTTTCACTGATAAAACTGATGCAATTGAATGCAAATCATTTTACATATTTTCAGTATTAAAAAATAATTTAACCATTTTAGTTAGATATTCTTTGTCGCGATAACCTTATAATGTTAAAGTTTTAAATTATTTATTAACACTGAAAATATATAAATTGATTTGCATTCAATTGCATTTAGTGTGCACCATTGTTACACTATTTTTCCTAATGAAAAACGCTATTAGATCCATAAAGAATTAAAAGCAAGAACTAATTGTACTGAAGAATTTTACAAAGCTGCTTTTTCCGTTAAACGCAGCCTTTGTATCGATCAGTGTGTAGCAGAAAGAAACTTGAGAGAGGATATATTTTAACTTTTTTTTGTGCACCAAACCTCTAGGATAAAATGCCCACGTTTTTATGATTTTCTTCCACACTATTACATGGATTAAAGAAGAACGAAACATCAAAGTTGATTATTCATTTTTGTCTAATCCACGTAATAAGCTGATTTTTCATGTGCAGCAAGCTGCGGCAGCAAAATGTTATTATTGGTTAAAAATCTTTTGTGAGGTGACGCACTGTGATGCACTTCCAATCAGTTCTCGAAAATTTGTATCACGTGACATTTTGCTGCCGCAGCGTACTGCACATGAAAAATCAGCTATAGTATGGGAGTGAACCACCAAGAACATGAATATTACCCTACGAGATTTGGTACAAAAGAAGGTCGAGAGTCCACTCTCAGATTTCTCTCTGCTGGTAATAAAATGTAATACCCTATTTAACCATCAGGTGGCATTATCTTCAAAAGTATGAAAAATTGCCATCTTGATATGTCTTGATATTTAGGTATCTTCATGATCAAGGATCAAGACGTATCTCTTGTCTTCTTCTCTTGCGTACTGCTGTGAGTACAGAAAATTACGTAATTATTTTACGTTCTTGACATTGTCTTGTGTTTTACTAAAACTTGCGAAATGTAAATTTGGAGTATTGAAAGACATTTTAAAGAATATTTGATATGATTATACGAAATTGGTTATGTTCATTAAATATTATATGTTAAGGTTGTAATAACTACATATTTTTCAGACTTTAGTCAATATGGGGAAGGAATTTGGAAACCTTTATAAAATTAATGGCATTGTCTATTTTCGCTTAAGTCCGTACGAACAAAAAACCTTCAAAGGAATATTTTCTGAAGGTGTACCAAACCTAATTCGTCGTTTCCGAGGCAGTGTATTTAGGGTTGCACCTTGTAAGTATATTTAACATTTGCATATATAATAAGTCATTTATTTCATAATTTAATATCTTTATCATTCTCTTCGTTACAGTTTTCATGTTTTCCTATTTGCTTATAAATTGGGCGGATGAGAAGAATCGCGCTCTTTCTCGCAAAAATCCGAAGGACTATGAAAATGATACGTAAATATAGGTGAATTTCAAGTTAATGATACTTAGTTTGTATTGTAAAATATCAGTTAATCTTATCTTCAATGGTGAAGTAAGAGAACTAATATTGTATTGGAAATAATATATGTGTACAAAAATACTTTAGATTTTTCGTAGTTGCTTTCCTCTTTTGTGAGATATAAAAGATAATCGATGCAAGTCAATTATATTTGTATATCTATTTTTGTTCAATGAATTTAATTGTCTATACACATATGTTTTTATCTTTTCAATTATAATTTTTACAAAAATAAAAATATGATTTCTGTACCAATGTCAGTTAAATTGTAATTGGTAATTATGGATATTAAGAGCCCAGACACAAGCTTTTGCATAACGCATAGTGCATAAGAGAATCAACCAATCAAAGTTCTTCCTTTCCATGAAGTGGAAGGAAAGGAGGGATTCAGATTGATTGTTTCTCTTGTGCATTATGTATTATGCGTTATGCAAAAGTCTGTGCTCCCTGCTTAATGGACACCATGCTGAAGACCTTGACCTATGTTGTCAACGTCATGATTCTGAATAATTTTGCTTTAACTGGGTGGAGGCCTCTCATAGTTTTCCTGAGATATTTAGACTTAAAAGTCTAATTTATGTAGTATACCTTTCTGTATACAGAATAAATTCTGATGACCCCGACTTTGAATTGTTGACAGTATGTACTTCTGTTTATCTCTATTGGCATTCAAATTTTCACTGATATTCAGAAACCACCATTACATCAGTTATTTTGCTGATTCTTATTTAAATGTAAATATTTATTTTCCAAACGTATCAATGCGTGTTTTACAATTATAACTGAACTGTATCCACCAATACTGGAAAAATAAATATGTATAATGTAATTCATACAGCTTATATGTAATATATAAGTAAAAATATATTAAACTATAATATATATATAAATAATCAAATATCAATATATAATTAGATATTATAATAAAATCTTGTTACAATTCATTTGGATTTTCAAACTTATATTGGGTTAATATTTCTTCATTTTTTAATCTTTATAAGTTTTCAATTGAGACAATTTTGTTTAGATTGATGCTGATCACTACTCTCCTTTGATCCAGAATATAAATGCGATTTTCCTCAAAGTGATAATGACTTGATAAATAAGTAAAAAATAGGCAGTTGAGAGCTCTGATACACAATTATTCCTGCATTATATTTAGAACGTCATATATTTCTCAAATCTTATATAACGATTGAATGTTTTGGTTCCATTCATATCATCAGTAGTGTTACAGTAATACATTGAACAATCTTGACCAAATCACTGGGTAGTCGTAATTTATTTAGCAATAGAGTGCAATAAAGAGAATCTCTCGGTTTACCTTATCTAGGAGATGTAATCATCAGTTAATTGCAATTTATTTAGCTAAGTGAGTGCTAAAATAAAAAAAAAAGCGAATTAGTTAAAAAGACTAAAAGTTATTTAAAAAAAAAACAAGTTATTATGAAGACTTATCCACTGCACTCCATGACCGTGTATTAAGTTAAATGTAATAAATGATCGATAACATAATAAAGAATAAAAGATGTAATTGCCAAACTGACTGTGTCAAACGAAGTCAAATAGAAAATAACAAAAGAATGAGCAGTATGAAATAAATATTAAGAATGGGAAACAATATAAAAAACAATGTCTAAGGAAATGAAAGTAATATAGGTTGTCAAATCACTTATAATGACTTGGTCTCTCACTTGTGTTATAATTTGTTTTGCTATTGATTAAACAAATAATTAGGAAGATTTGCCACATCCGTTATATACGCGCGACGTTATTAAATTGACTGCCATTTAGCCAATCCGGTCAAATTAAACTGCATTCTCAACAGGTGTTTCCCTTTCCTCAAATTACACATTCTTTGTAATCTCTCGTTATAACAGGTAGTTCTATTGGTTCCAGATACCGGTCTTCGGATTTCTTCGTCTTTCATTGCGGTGCAATTTAATTGTAGTGCCTCGTTCTATAGGGCTACGCCATGATTAACGTGCAAATCGGAAGACCTGTTACACGATTTAATATAACTGTAATTGTTCGTGTTATTCCATTTTCATTAAAAGAAATAAGAAAAAGGAAAGTAAAAGTTGAAGATATGAAAACACAGCAGGTTTATCGATAAAACGAGAAAATCGTCGCGGAGCATTCGACGTACGAATCGTATACGATCCTGAAGGCATCGCGGCGGAGATTGCCGATTCGAACGAATCCGAGGAGCGCCATGTCGGTCTCGCGGACGTTCAACCAATGGCACGTCGCGTTACCTGCGGCGCACCGAACAGGTAACACCGACGGTGCGTCGATCGTGGATTACGATCGGATTAGTCGCCGGAGTATTCGCGGTCGAGCATGTTCGGGACGTAGCTCCGCTGCTAGTTTTCTGTCGCCTCGGGATCGAGTGCCTCCCTCTTCCCTCGGCTCTCTGCCTGTTTCCGTCTCTCTCTCTTGGTGTGCGTGCGCGGTGCAGTGCGTTTTGTGAACGAATTTGTAAATAAGGTAAGCGATCCCGTTTGTCGCGCGCTCGCTTCAAGGCGCCCTGCGATCTTCTCTATTCTGTTAGAATTCGAAGCGAATCGAGCGATATTCGGGAAATTAATACGAGACCGTCGCCGTCGTAACGCTTCGAAACAGCACCGTTGTAAACTTGGAAGGCGTGCAACGCCGCAATCCGTCCGGTGTCGCGCACACCTGTTGCCGTCTTCCGCGGCGTAGGTACATGGCCGCGTTGCGTGCCATGCCTGTTCTCTAACTTTCAACGACATTTCGTTACGTCGCGTTGTTGCGCAGCTGTTTCACCGTGTAAAATACCTGCGCAACGGCAACCCCAGCTAGTAAAAAACAAGCTAGTTAAAAAGTTACGGAATAGGTCTGCTGGTCTGCGTCGCTTTTCACGTCGCCTGCAACCGACGAGAGGACGACGGCATTTGCAGGATAAAAATCGTGCAAATTATCGGACGGTTGTATCAACGCCATCAACTTGAACGTGCCACACTTGTTCTTTATAACGTCGCGTATTCTACTCGAATCCAAATCATGTGATCACATCATCGACGTGAAATTCGTAGCACTCGAATACCACGCAATTGTGGGAGGGGGGGGGGGTTTTTTTGGGGGGGGGGGGGGGGGGGATACCAACAAAATCCAAGGGTCACATGTCCGAATTGTGTCATCGCCACAAAGTATCACAATAGTAATGTACGAGTGAAGGAAAGATATAAAATAATGTTTTGACTTGTCGACCTTGCGTTTTCATTTTGAATTCACTGATGCGAGATTTGTAGCACAACCGGAAGATGTAATTATTGAAAAAAAGGAATAGAAACTTCTCGATATTTGCTCGTTAGTGTGGCATGTTCAAACTCGCTAATCTGATGTCCAATTGTAATTGTATAAACAAAACTAAAAATAATTGATAAAAATCAAACCCCAAGATTTGCAATATAAATATAAAGGCGGTAGAAAGGTCAATTTATGAGCAAAACTATTAGGTGAAAATTTAAAATAAGTTTAATAAATTATTATTGTTAATCACAAGTTAAAATAAATGACACGTAAAAGGTGATACGTTTCGACTTATCAGCCAATTAAAACTAAGTAATAAATAAAAAAAATAGAATATACTATTTAAATCATAATAAACAATAAGTTTGTATTATTTTGTAACACAAATTAAATTTAAATGAAGGTTTAACGAACAATTAAAGACTAATCTAAATCTAATTTATATGAACACTCTAATTAATATATTATCTGTTATTTATTAATTTGATCATCCTTAATTGTTTGTTAAATCTTTATTTGAATTTAAATAATAATACTCTTAAACAAACAAACGTTAGAATGATTCTTAAATTGATTCTACAAAAGTCACATTCCAATATAAGAACAATAAATAATAATGATTATTTTATAACGAAACACGTTTTTTTGTTAATAATATATAACAATAGTTCAAATTAAAAACTGAAAATGTCGAGAAGATTCGCTAACTTTAAATTGCGTCTTTAAATGGCCAATTTATTCATTTCTACTTTATCGATTAGATATCTCTCATATATTTCATGGTTGAATAAAATATCTCGGAGATATCTAGAAAATATCTCACGGATAAATTTACCAACAACTTATCTAGAAGTGAAGACATTAGGCATTAATTCGAAATTATTAATTAAAATCTTAGTTTTAAAGAGAAGACTTGTATTGGTGTGGAATGTAGGGTTATTTATAAATAAAGCTAAAGATGACGACGAAACTAACTCGATTTGCCTCGATACTATTGTATGAATCATAAATATGAATCATACGACTTGTTCTACGTATTTAAACGTATCTAATACCTCTCTTCAGTTTCATAACATTTCGAAAAAATAATTTATAAAGTTCATCTGTAATAATAGGTAATTCTATCTGAATAGTAAAACTACACGAGGATGTAATCGATACGTTTCCTCGGTGACATTAAAACGAACGAAAGGACCGCCTGTGAGGCGAAATTAACTAATTGAAGATTAAAGAATGCTGTTAAGATTGAACTTCCTAATTGGACGATACGGGATCTTGATTGCCGGATAATTCATTGTATCTAGATCACGTCTTGATTTCTCCCAAGTCTATCTCCGCTAAAATATTGAAAAAAAAACATGTATATTGCTTGCATTTGTATAACAGTCAAAGTTATATTGTATAATTTTTATTGTTTGTATTATCGCTAGAAGTTTATCTTTAAAATCACAACAGCTGATATAACTATTATTATAATTGTGAAACTTTCAAAGATTATAATGTTTATTAATGCAAACGAAATTTCTGTGCAAAAATGATTCTTTTAATGAGAAAATACCTTTTAATCTCGAGAAACAATAGTAAAGATCATTCTTTTGTAAATGGCAAGAATGTAACAGGAACAATAATGGCATACGCTATTTATATCAGACGCGCGCAATCACTATAACAATTGTAATGTCGATACGCTAATTCTTATCGGGCTATCATTATATATAATCTGATGATTCATCGATTGCCGACTTTTAATCATCCTTATTTTAGTATATCTCGCGATTGTAAAACACGCAATTTCTATTCCCCTTATCCGCGACATACGTAGCTTTTAATCGAATTCAAGTATCGCAGTTTTAGAGCTCTATGTATCTATTATCTATAAATACTACA